CTGTGCCATCCACAGCTCCAGCCTCATCTACGGGGTGGATGTCAGAAGCAAAAGGAAGCTTCCACTGGTCCCTTTAGTTGGAACATTCTTATCCCTCCTGAGGTCACACATGGGACACTCTAAGTAGTGTTAGTTGTCCAAGCACATATTTCAGATGATGTCTTCAGTAGCTTCCAGAGGGCAGCCGTCATTTCAGAAACAGCTCCCTGTGACTGGCATGTGACTTTTTCCCCCGAAAGATTTGCATCAGTGGGAAGGTAGAGGCGGTAAGAGAGAAGGGAGCAGGAAAGGAAAAAATGGAAGAAATGAGGTCTCAGGACTGCATATGATTCTGGCGGGGAGCCCTTGGACGCAGAGGTAGAACACACAGAGTGCTTTGCCTCAGTGTCTGATAAAATGACCGCCGGAGAGAGCAGAAATGACAAGGAATCATTTGGGGGAATCCAGGCTGGCCCTTAGCCTGTACGAGGCAGATACGTGTATCTTGGATGCTCCGGACTAAAAACAAAACAAAACAAAACAAAACAACCCACATTCTTCACAGCAGTGGGTCAATCTTCATGCTTTGACTCCAAGATTTTAAATTTATTCTGCAGTATTTCCCATGAATGGTGGTTACATAATTTATATTTACTGAATTTAAGAACCCAGGCTCTATGACACATCCTAACACAATGTTAAGCCTCAGGTAGAGCACAGAGAAGTGTAGTCTTTTAGGCAAGGCAAGCTCTCCAACACACAAGTGCACGACTGAGTATTCCAAGCATGTGGCCACACCCAGCCGGGTCTCGGGGACCTGCCTCTCCCACTTTCACTGGACTTTTGATTAGTCGAGAAAGGTTTCATGTCAGAATACACATCATTGCCCATCGAAGCATTTGTCCCAAGCCGCCCCATGCCCTGAATACTAAGAAAGATGGATACAGCAAGGGGTTCAGTTACTTGTTCTTTCCCGGTTCATGAAACGTGGGGCAGGAGGCAGAACTATGTGTTGGTTTTCAACTGGCTCTTTCAGGTTGACAAAAAAAAAAAAAAGGTGTGTGTGTCCGTGTGTGGCAGGGGTTAATACAAGGCTCTGATCTGGTGTAGTTAACTTAAGCACGCCGGCTCCCAGGTGCCTCTGACGGGAGAATGGATGCCGGCATTTCCTTGAATTTCCAGCACCCTTTGGTGGCTCCATTAGGGCGCAGTCCTCTTGTGCGGGGAGCGTGTGAGGCGACGTAACTGCACACGTGGTGTAGCTGAGATCTCTGTTCTCTGTCTCTGAGGCCACGTGGACGTGGCTCGTTTCCTGTTAGAAAAGGGATGCTTTTTTTTCTTCACCGTCTCATGGACTTTCTTACAAAGAAACTGTAGCCCAAAGAGGTTAAATGACTCACCTGAGGGATTCCTGTTGTAAACTAGAGAACGGGACTGAAATTCTGGTCCCTTCCACTATGCTTCATCGGTTAGGAAACAGGCACCCAGAATTCCTGATGTCTGCCCCATCCAACAATCCCGATTTAACAAAAACAGAGCGCTGCAAGGAAGGCATGGTACTAAGGGCTCTCGTGCTCCAACTTCCAACCTTTAGGAGCGGGGATAGGTTGGGCAGGGAGAAGGCCCCAGGTGTGGCCCTGGAGTCCACACTGAGCAGTGTAGGTGGGCGTGGGAAACAGATCAACCGCCAGAGAGGGACAGAGCGACAGAGGCGGGGCGCCTGGCCACTGCGGTCTCCAGAGCGGGTGGAACATTTGCAGCCGAGGACCACAAAGCAGGGAGATGTCCCAAGGACAGGAATTCCGGAGTGGCAGTCTGCCCCGGGGCCCACAGGTGGTGGGAACACCCTCACCAGGCTCCCTGCCTCTTCCTGTGTAGCCAAGCCCCACACAACTGAGGCCGGGTTCCCAGGGAGGACTGGCAGGTACAGAGGGGAACTGTTCCCTGACCTGGCTCCCGTCCAGTGCCGTCCAGTGCCGAGAAATCAGGAGCTAGGCAAGACCTTGTTAACTTTGTGACCAGAGGGCAAAAGAAGTCCCAAGGTGCCACTTGTCTCATCCCATTCCTCACCTTGACCTTAACCTCTCTACTTTGACAGAGCCCTACGTGAAAGGTGTGTTTGTGTTTGTTTCCAGTGGATGCATTTCCCGTGACCACTGAAAATTCACTCCCAATCAAGAAAAGAGGCATATGTTTCCATAACTTACAATCTCATCTGGAGGTGTTCTGAAGTGTGACCCAGACATGATCTTTCCAATCAAAGGCCTGACTCATCATTACACGCAATCATCTGTTTTATTTTAAAACATGTCTATACTGCGTTGAGCACCAACACAGATGTGACCAAGAAACCCACAGTCCTGTCCCAGCAGGCGGCGGGTCCAGTGTGTGACTTGGGGCGGACGGTTATGGTTCACAGTGACAGAAAAAAAGAAAAGGGCAGGAAAGACAAAACGGACTTTGTCCTCAATTCCTGTTCAGGAATCTGAGCAAAAGAAAGAGAGGGATCCTTAAGCTCACAAAGCTCTTCAAAAGCCCCTTCTCTGAGTTAGCGGATGTTCAAATATAGACCCTGGGTTGATGGACCAGCCGGACTTGGTAACAGAAGAGCAAGCTGTTTAATATAACATCTCCACGTTACTGCAAGAAAGAGGGAAATGGGCTGTGCTTTTTTAGTTTACTTTTTCGTACAAGTGGAGAGGATATCAGCCTTACACAACCACAATCGTGACAGACCATCTGGTCAGTATAAAAACTCTGCGTTTGGGAAAAAGATGTCACCTGACCTACGGGAAGAAATGGACTGAGCTGGATGGTGCCTACACCAGATGGCAGCTTGGGTTCCTTTACTTTAATGATCTTTTCAACGATGACGCCACGGAAGGGTGTGGTATGTGTCGTGAAGACTGGGAATCTCATTTATTTTTACATCAAGCCCTTACATCCACCTGCTTCCTTAAAATTACTATCGTACGGGATTCTTCTCGTGTCCACATCGGTCCTCTGAGGCAGGAAGTAAAGGTTAGAAAATTGGCAGGTTCTGTTTCTCAGGCCAGAGGACGCACAGGGTTTCCTTCTGTTTCTTGGTTTCTGGAACACTTGAGCCTCAGGCACCATCGGGCCTCCAGCAGCCTCCTTGGCATCCAGGGCTCGGACTTCCCTATTCCCAATCCAGAGGACTTATGTCATGGAAAGAAAAAAGACTGCCCCAAGAGTCCTCGGCTCCTGGGCCCTCATCTGAGGGAAGAGGAAGCAGTAGGTAGGAGCAAACCTTTGAGTCACCAAGTCATCACTGGAGAAGGCAATAAGCAAGCCTAGAGCCTGCCTGATGACCTTATTGTGAGAAACACAGTCCCTTCTCCAAACCATAGACTTCCTGTTTATAATCTAAAATGGGTGTCTTTGAAATGACTTACCCCGGGCCAGTGAAAGGCAGTCGCTCATTACATGTTATACTAGGTTAGATTTCTACTTGATGATTCACATGAAATTTGAAAACGGGCCAGACTACCTTGGAATGTGTGTGTTTCAACTGATCAGAAATTGCAAAACGCTTTCGCCATTTACGAATATAGCACTTGAACCCAAGGGCTCCATTGGTATGAATATTTCCAGACTTGTTTGCCTTTTAACAATAACAGAGCATGGTCGGAATGAAGACCTGATTACAGTTTCTAACATCGATTAAATTATATCATCTGAGTTACAAATCAGTTTACGCCGTTTTGCTCCATTTTCTATGCACTCTGTCTTTTAAATCATCTGGTATGAAATTTATATTTAAAAAATTTTTCAAAAGGCAAATGCCTAGAGGAGCAAGTCGTTTGCATTGTCTTTCCTTGAGTTACTTTGGGTAAGCGGAGGGATCACCATGGATTTGGAGTGGGGTCGCCAAGCATTTCCATGGGTCATCTTCTTCCACGTGCCCCAGGATGGGGAAGTCGGAAACTCTCTTCTAAACATGTTGGCAGAAGGGCACAATTTTTCAGCTCTTTAGGGCCTGTGAAAACAAAGAGAAAGGTGGCTGTCACTTCTCTTACTGGCACCGTGAATAGTAATCCCATGAGTCATGGTCCTATTGTCCTCTTGTCTAAGACTCGCAGTTCTGGAACCTGGACCTCTTCTCCTCTCTCTGCTCATTCCTCCTGCATGCTTGGTCCTCACACGGCCAGGGGCAGACTTCCAGGCATTTCCAAGCACATAAATCTGTGATGCTATTGTGGGCTGTGTCCCTCTGCCCCCAGTTGTAGAACATTTGCCCTTTCTGCCACCCTCCACCCCATTATATAACATCTCCCTAACAGAAATAAGAAAAAGACTTCCTCTGGTTAGGAGTTTGAATCTTCTGAGTTCTTATGGAATTTTCAGAGACAGAAAGCACTCCTTCCCCTCCTCAATGGTCAATTCTAGGAGTTCACTACATGTGTGTGGGTGTGTGCAGGGCAGAAGTGGAGGGAGGAGACCTCACTACCAGAAGAATTCTCATCAGAACGGTGACCTAGCTCGGCAATGAATGCTCTTCTGGAAACCACCCAACTCCCTCTGATGCCTGGGAGTGGGGAGATTAGGTATCAAGGTGAAACTTGGTTTGGGTTTTCTTTCAAGTTCAGTTAGTTGAAAAATTAGGACAAGAAGCCAGATTTGGTTAGAGCTCAATAGGAGTCAAATAAAAGCCATCTCTGGCTCTAACTCTCCCTCTCTCTCTCCCTCCCTCTCTCTCTCTCTCTTTTTTTTTCGAAACTTAGAAAGGCCAAGCAGTTACCTGTTTCTCCCAGGGAAACTTCAGATGTAGCCCTCACAGAGGTAAGGGGCTTCTGAAAAGGACTCTTGGCTTTTAAAGTAAACTCTATGCCCAACGTGGGGCTCAAACTCAAGATTATGAGATCAGCAGTTGCTTGTTCCTCTGACTGAAGCAGCCAGGCACCACTGAACCTGATTTCTAGAGGTTTCTATTGGCTCGAGGTTGGGGTTCTAGATATGACCACTCTCATTTATCTACCACATGGGTGTAATTTCTTTACTTACGAGTACCTTCCTGACATTTTTCGAGCAACCAAAATGATGATCCCACCAATGAACCCAATGGCTAGTAAGACTCCAACTATGATTCCAACCAGGGTCACTGTCGCCAGGCCATCTGATTGAGGAGGAAAAAAAAAGCATGAACCCCAGATAAATGATACACCTGTGTCATTTATAAACAATACCACTGTCCCACTAAAGACAGCAAATAATGTTCTAATTTGCTTCTCCTTATCCAGTAGGAGTTGACTTAGAAGAGATGAAACCTTGGGCTACTCTAATCCCATCTTATGAGTGGCAAGATTCCTGGGTCTCAGGATCTATCAAGCATATCACTCATACTGGGTGGCTTCACTGTTTATTATTAGGTAGTGTTTGCTGCTATTACATTAGCCCCTACTTTTATTCTTAGTAACAATAAATTATATGACACCGTTCTCCATAGCTGTCATTAAGTGAGTAGACTCATTTGCGGTTTATTTTCAGATTCAGGTAATTTTCTTTTCTCTCTTAAAAGAGGTTTGAAACCTGTTCTCAGAAGGTTCTGTATTGCACTCTTGTTGACTACAATCCAGGAAAGAATGTCATTCATCAAAAGATTAGCTTCAAAGAAACTTTTTTTTTTTAAACTCCCACAAAAATATTTTGATAACAAAATCTAGCTTACCTTTCTCAACTGTTGTCTCTGTGTCTTCACCTATTTTCTCTGGAAAGAAAGAGATGTAATGATACAGAATTATTAGGATTTAATAACTATAATTTAACAACTGGCAAAAGATTAATTTACTCTAAGTGGAAGGCAGCAAGGCACAAGCAAAGAGGATAATTTCTTAAATAAATTGGATCAGAGGATTTTTAAGCAAGCTCTGACATGATCCTATCTTCAAAAGTATTATTATCGAATTTATGAATGCTTCTTCACACCTATGGGCCCATAGCACTTTGGTGTATCTTTTTTCTCACCCACTTTAGAGAGCAGAGTCAAGGAAATTGACCCACAGAAATCTTACATAAATGGTCACAAAGTTTCAGGGGTTTCAATGACACAAGAAGCCAAGGCTGTTGATTCTATGGTCCAATGTCAAGACCGTAGAAAACTCATTCACCGTGATGAGTTTGATTTTGAAAGATTTTGTTTTAGAACAATATACTCTAGTTCTGGAAGATGGGCCCAGACAGTGATTTGTCTTACGTATCAGTTCCCTGCTTTTTCTTTAGTAGCAAAACCCACATCTTACAGGGCAGCGATATGCCCAGCTAAGTTTAATGAGGGAATATACCTTGGGGCACCTGGGTGGCTCAGTCAGTTAAGCACCTGACTTTTGGCTTAGGTCATGATCTTATAGTTCATGAGTTCAAACCCCATGTCGGGCTCTGTGCTGACAGCTCGGAGCCCGGATCCTGCTTCAGAATCTGTGTCTCCCTTTTTTTTCTGCCCCTCCCCTGCTCATGCTCTGTCTGTGTCTCTCAAAAATAAGCATTAAATTTTCTTTTTTTTAAATGAGGGAATATACCCTTTGTGTTTAGCCTCTGTTATTTTAGGATTTCTCTCTGTAGCCAAACCTAGTCCCATAGTTACAATGTGAATATTCTCATTAAGCTATCACATGGGTTTGAGTTATTAACTTAGAGTAAGTAAGTAATAAAGCTGCGAGTTTCTTTCAGATAATTTTACACAATGTCTATTTAAAAATATACGCTTTGGGTTTTATTTTTCCCATCACCCTGCTTGTACACTAAGTCCTTAACTCCTCTGGGTGGTGGTGATTTACCTAGTTTGCAGATGGAGAAAAAGTCAAGAGGCTTTGATTTAATGAAACAATAGAGAGACGTGGATCAATTAGGTGCCTCCCTAGGACTGTAGTTCACAACCTGCAAATACCGCAGATATCCAAGAGCTTTTCTAATCAAAGGGGAAAGCACCATCTGCAAGATGGTTACTTTTCCTAATGCTTGAATTTGAAAGAAGTCTTTGTACCAAGGCTCTCTTCCAAAAAAAAAAAAAAAAAATGCACCTTTTCAAGATGGTCCCAGGATAAGAGTGTCTGAATCCAGCTCTGCCGGATGGCATGAGCTGAACTCATAGCTGTGGAGCATTTACATGGAGCTCAAGCTGATGGTGCTATCCCACCTAAAAAGGGGGTGAGACTGTTGGGTCTGAGGCCAGCCCAGAACAAAGGTGTCATGGAATCACTCCTGAAAGGTCATCTTTGGTTGCCAACTACCAGTAGAAAAAAAGTCAACCATTCGCTTATCATGAACTAAACTGGTAGCTGCTGATTCCAGACTTACAACACATCCTCATCCATTGTGACACCGTTGGCCAGAAAACATATTACCAAAAATTCATGTGGAAGATTCGTTACCAAATTAAAGCTTATTAGTTCTATACTCCCTAGCTCCTACCCGGTGACGGTGGCTGCAGTCATGAGAATGTGTCATACATACATGTGAACGTCATCATACTTGGGTGTTTCGTGGGAAAGACATCTGCTGCCCTAATAAAATCAGCTCTTAAAAACCAAGTGCTTATAATTATATTTTAACTCACATGTGAAAATTTCTGGGATGCTGGTGTGTTATGGGGAAATGTGCGGTAAGTCACAGTTTTTGTGACAGGGTGGGGCAAGAGACAGGACAGGAGACTAATCATGAGTATTTTCCAGAGAACTGAGAATTTTGTTTTAAAGGAATGGGAGAGGTATCCTGGTATTATAGGAAGAAGGCTCCATTTTCTGCAGGTAATTAGCCGTCAACTCATTTACACGCAACTGATTCTCCAAAATTTTGAAATGTTTTCCAATGACCATATTGATGATTCTTTCCTCCCATACCCCTACTTGGTTCTATCTAGTGCTTAAATGGTAAGCGTTTTTTGGGGTGCCCTGGGTGGCTCAGTCGGTTGAGTGTACTACTTCAGCTCAGGTCAGGATTTCACAGCTGTGAGTTCAAGCCCCATGTCGGGCTCTGTGCTGACATAGCTCGGAGCCTGGAGCCTGCTTCAGATTCTGTGTCTCCCTCTCTCTCTGCTCCTCCCCCACTCATGCTCTGTCTCTCTCTCTCTCTCAAAAATAAATAAACGTTAAAAAGAATAAATAAACGGTAAGCATTTCTTTAGCATCTCAGAGAGACTTTGTGGCTTTATTCCCAAAGTACTTCATACAGCTTTTTTCTTTCCTATCATGGTAAAATACACATAACATAAAACTATCCTCACCATCTTTAAATAGCCAGTTCAGTGCCATTAAACACATTCGCTCTTGTGCCACCACCACTGCCATCCATCTCCAGGACTCTTCCTGTCTCACAAAACTGACACCCCATAGCCATTAAACCGACTCCTCACGCTCTCCTTCCCCCAAGCCCCTGGCAACCACCCTCCTACTTTCTGTCTCTATGAATTTGACTCTAGGCAGTCTAGTACTCATATAAGTGGAATCATACAGTGTTCGTCTTTAGGTGACTGGTATGTTCCAGTTAGCATAATGTCCTCAAGCTTCATCCATATTGTAGCATGTGTCAGAATTTTCTTCCTTTTAAAGGCTGAATATTAGTTCATTAAATGTATATACCACATTTTGTGTATTCATTCATGTTGATGGACATCTGAGCTGCTCTTGTGTTCTAGCCATTGTGAATGATGCTGCGATGGACATTTTGTGCACAAATATAAAGCAATTAAAAAAATCCTCAGAAGCATTATAGTTTTTAAAAACAGAATGGTGATAGGGTCTAGAAATGTATACTGAACAATAAAGAGTAATTTTCTAGGTGTTCAGATGGGCAACTGATTGGAGGAACCGTTAATTTAGGTAAGGTCTTTATGTTGACTTTCATTTAAAGATGGAAACACTCATCTAGATAAAATAATTAGCAAACATTCAGTGCAATTATTGGAGGATCACTTTTTTCCCTCTCCCACCCCCATCTACTCCAAAAGAAATAAAGAAATAAAGAAAAAAATCTCAAATAGGAGCCCCTGCGTGGCTCAGTCAGTTGAGTGTCCAACTTTGGCTCAGGTCATGACCTCACAGTTCGTGATTCAAGCCCCTCGTTGGGCTCTGTGCTGACAGCTCAGAGCCTGGAGGCTGCTTCGGATTCTGTGTCTTCCCCTCTCTCTGACCCACCCCCACTCACACTCTGTCTCTCTGTCTCTCTCTCTCTCAAAGATAAATAAACATTAAAAAAAAATCCCAAACAACTGAATTTCTCCTAAAAAAGCTCTAGAAATAGGAGGCTTTTTCTTTCCATTGCTAAGTTGTAATGGCAATTATTTTTCCTCCTTCTCAGGAAGGATGGAAGGAAGGATGGAAGAATGGTCTATACCCATAATAATGGCCAAGACCCAAGACAGTGCTCCATTCACATTGCTGCAGGTGTCACCTATGAATCACAAGGACAGCCCCAAATCCTGGTAAGAGTGGTTACATAGGTTGCTTGGGTTTTCTGCTCCTGGGAGTCAATGGGAAGTTCTTAGTGTAACATTGTATCAAGTTACAGTCAGCAACATGACACTGGTAGCTAACTTGCCCCTTAGGGACATTTTCACTAGTTGTCATTCAAAGTGGAGAGCTGTGTTCAGCAACCCAATAAATCAGATGCACTTTAGCAACCCTATAAGTAGAATTCTGAAGCTAGCACATAAGACTTGGTTCAGAATTCACTCTTATGTTCCAGTATATGCGCCACTAATCATTAGATTTGTTCATGGATATTTGGAATGCACTGATCATGCAAAAGAAGATCAATACCTATTGGGGCGACTGATTTTCTTACCTATGGAGTGACTGGTCACCACATTCAAGGTTGTGGTGCTCTGGCTTTCTTCATTGGCATGGCCTGTACTTTCTTGAGTTGGCCCATCCTCTATGTGAAAGTCTGTTATACTCTCTGTATTTGTTGGCACCTATTGGAGAAGTAAATGAGACAAAAGAGAAATAAAATCTAATGTTTTAAAATATATATTCAGCCTCATAACAGAAAAGGATTTAAAGGCATAAATATATAAAATATATGATGACTTAAATTTAAACAGGAAACAAGAAAACAAACAGAAATGACAGAGTGGGGATAGGAATAAAACCAAACGTACTCCACAAATAAATATCAAATGTTGACTCCATAGGGTCTTAATTCTTTAGAAAATACCAGGTCACTAGGCTTTAATTCTTTATCTCCCTGAACTTAAATGGCATTTTTCCTTTATTTGGCACATAATATGTTGTATCCTCTTTCAATGCCCTCCCTCCTCCAATTAGAGTAATAACTGAATTTTATTGAGAGCTTACTATGTGCTAAGCCTTTTAAATACCTTCTCATTTATTCCACAAACAACCCTCTAAAGTCAATCCTAATGTTAGTCCTATAGTCTGGATGAGGCCAAGAGAGATTAGACAACATGCCCAAACTCAGACAGCTAACAAGCAACAGAAGGTGACTTAGAAGTGATTCTGTTGACTTCAAAGTTCATGCCAATGTGGCATTGGACAAATAAGCTCGTCAGCACAGGCAACAAAAGCAAAATTAGATAAGTGGGGCCCCATCAAACTTAAAAACTTCGTGCATTATAACACACAATCAACAGAGTAAAAAAGCAATCTGTAGAATGGGAGAAAATATTTACCAATAATATATCTGATAAGGGTATAAAGAACTCCTACCACTTAGCAACAAAGAATCAAATAACTTGACTCAAAAATGGGCAGAAGGGGGGCGCCTGGGTGGCGCAGTCAGTTAAACGTCCGACTTCAGCCAGGTCACGATCTCGCGGTCTGGGAGTTCAAGCCCCGCGTCGGGCTCTGGGCTGATGGCTCAGAGCCTGGAGCCTGTTTCCGATTCTGTGTCTCCCTCTCTCTCTGCCCCTCCCCCGTTCATGCTCTGTCTCCCTCTGTCCCAAAAATAAATAAACGTTGGGAAAAAAAAAATTAAAAAAAAAAAATGGGCAGAAGGGCTCGCACAGACCTTTCCCCAGAAATGATAGACAATGGTCAACAAGCATATGAAAGATGCTCAGTGTCTTAACATAAACATCAGAAAAAGGCAAATTAAAACCACCATGAGATGATCACCTCACTCCTGTCAACAGAATGGTAAATAACGTACTGGCAAGAAGGTGGAGAAACTGAAATCATTGTATCCTGTTGGCGGGGATGTAAAATGGTGTAACTGCTATGGAAAACAAGATAGAGGTTCCTCCAAAAAAATTAAAAATAGAACTACCTTATGACCCATCAATCCCACTTCTGGGTGTATACCCGATTGAAAGCAAGATCTGGAAGAGGTGTTTCCACATCCATTTTTCATAGCAGCACTGTTCACAAGATCCAAGAGTTGGAAGCAACTCAAACATCCACTGACCAATGAACAGATGCACAAAATGTGGCACACACATACAATGGAATAATAATCAGCCTTGAAAACGAAGGACATTCTCACATGCACTACAGCATGGATAAATCCTAAGGACACTATGCAAAGTGAACTAAGCCAGTCATAAAGTATCCTTGCATGTGGTTGCATGACTGTGGGGCAACTTCCTCTCTTCCTGGGACACTCTTCCTGGGACACTCACCAGACCTGTCGGGCCAGTAGACTCCTCAGGGTCTGCGCCGGCACCTGTGGTCACCACATTGTCTTCTGCACCTAGGGTCACCATGCCATCTTCCACACCTGGTGTCATAATGTCATCTTCTGGCCGGACTGTGCTAGCTAAAAAAGAAAGACTGGGTCAGGGCTTAAGGTAGAAATTGTGTGGGCAGACCTAACTGGCCAGCTACAATCAGATTATTTTCTTTACCATTTCTTTTGGGGATTGTTTTTGGGGGGAGGGTCATCTTTCCAGCTTACCACAAACCACTCTCCTTGCTGTACCTCTGTCACATACAAGGACCTGGCTGTCTCCATAGCAAGGTAAAGGGAGATAAAAATACAAAATGGTGAAGCCGCCAGCCCTTCCCCACTGCGGTAACAGGAGGGATATAAACCTTGCCTTTTCAGTAATGAACCAGGTTCTTCCTGGTGTCGTTTCATACAATGAACGAATGCATTCGGGTTGCTAGAATATCATTTAGACCTGGAAAAATTTTTAATTAGAGTCACGTGGAAAGACTTCTAAAAATACCAATTTGCAGGCTCTATCTTAAACATTCTGAATCATAATGTCCAGAAGGAGATCTCCATCCTTAAAAATCAAGCTTGCTTTCCATTTTAATTTTGAGACTGCTGTCTTCTTGAATGAGGAGAACCATTACCTCTGACCACGGACCTCATAGGTGAGGTCAACTTCTTAGTTTATAGTTGAGGTTACTATCTATGGGAGATAGTAATGTATGTAACGTGCTGAGGTAGCCAATAGGATTCTTAGTGCACAGAGAGCTAAACTAATAAGGGACCTCGGTGCCCCAGGCTGGGGTTTTTCTGCTTTAACATTGAATGAATGACCCTGTTGTACAAACCAGAAAGGTTTTCAGAGGAGCAGGGGATGGGTGGGGTGGGATAGCAGGTTGAATTCCACACAAAGGTGGGGTGGGGGAGTGGAACAGATAACAACAGTGGCCTTTTCTTTAACCTCTGTCTCAATGATCCAGACTAAATCACGACCAAGCAAGGGCATCACCTCAACTCATCAAATAACCCTTTTCATGAGTTAAAAATCTGACTCATTGGCCACGGGCTCCCTCCCCATACTCAGAGTGGCTCTGGAAATTCCATGACTAAATACAGTTGCAAACTAAGCAAACACATGTCCTAGGAGCAAGAGGGGCTGGGGTGCTTGGAGGCTTCTTTGTGTAATTAAAGAGTTGATGTTTGTATCCAGGCAGTGCTCAAGTTAGCAATCCAGACCTTGCCTTAAGATACCTTATTTCTCCCTATGCTTAGAGAGCCCAGCCAAAGGCACAGCTAATAAATATTTGATCATAACTTCTTTGCTGATGCATAGAGGTAGAAAGTCTCAAGAGTAAATTCGCTTGTTCTGTGAGCCTTCTCTTTGCATCTGGAGTCCTAATCCAGGGCTGTCTATCTATGGCTTTGGTTGAGCCCCCTAAGCATATACATTTATTTTTTCATCTGGGAGGGAAATGGCTTTCACCAGTTAGCAATAACTGAATACCTTCGTGCAAGCAGCCTCCCCTCCTGGCTGCTTGCTGGGGTGGGGGTGGGGCCAGCGATGGGCTCCCACCAGGATTTATGACTCTGGTGGTAGACCAATGTTGAATGTAAGAGGGAGATATCCCTTTGCCAGGCAAGTTGTCCTTATTAAACACACACACGCACACACACACACACACACACACACACACACACACACCCCTTTTCTTCCCCTCCAGGTTTGAACAGTTAACAAATCATGAATTTTACAAATGTTTTCTGGAGGCTGCTTAGCAAAACCATTTACTATATGGTACCTTCCAACTTTATAAAACAAAACACCCTTGCTTTAAAAAAAAAAAAAAATCAAGTACTGAATGAAGTTGGTTTGAATTCTTTCATAGAAAGTTCAGCTCATTGAAAGCGTAACTTGATAAAAAATTCCTTCTTGTTCTTTTCTATTCTTGGCCCACAGAGCCAAGCACTAAAATCGCCCTGAATAGACAAAGGGCGTTTTATGAATGACACTCATGATTAAGATGCATGGCTTTTGTCTCACTGCCCTGGCATTCTTTTTGCTCCATGGGAAAGTTGATCTTTAACAAGGGATCTTCCATTGTCCCTCGTATTATTTTGGCGGAAGGCTTTCCTGGGTGAAGAGTTCCTACCAGCCCAGCTGCCGCGTTTCCAGCCAGCGATTGATGCCCCTTTCCCTTCAACAGTGAAATTCAAATCGTGTCTTGATGCCCTTCATCTCGGATTCTTTTTCCTCCTAAGACACGTGTGTGCGCAGGCAATACCCACAGCTGTTTATATAAGCACAGTGAGGAATGTACAATCACAGGGTCAGTTCTGCTGCCGTGTACCCTCATGATCTCACGATTCCAGCCTCACCCAGGTTCACCCAGCCTGGGGGTCAGAATCAATGGAAGTTTCCAAAGACGGTGGCAACCCATCCATTTGCTTTGGAATTTGTGCGTAGGTGTTATTCTTTCAAGAGCTCGGCCAAACTTTATATTACCTATGAGAAGATGTGATAAATCCATTTTACCTTGAGGTTCTTAAGCTTGAGAACAAGTAAGAACTGAAGAGATGTTTATTGGCTTGAAAGTGCTAATTATGAATTGCTTTTATCTTTGCATGGAAGCCCGACCTCTCCAAAGGAATTCTTCTAGTTTATATACACTTAGGGTAGGGCCTTTCATTTAAAATATCTTAGAATTTAGATGCAAGGTAAATCATGCTGCTACCGTAATAGTAATAGTCCCAAGTTCTTGGTCAAAATGTTTTAATAAGTGTTTTCAATCTTCTGGTTTTATGGACATTCCTGATAAGTGGGGAGTTCTTCCATTTATCTGTTGGCCGTTAAAAATATCTTCTCTTGTGGCCATTTTTCTCTTATGGCACTCATCTTTTTTAGTTTTGTAAGTGTTCTTTATACCTTAGGAATACATCCTTTGGGGGCACCTGGTTGGCTCAGTTGGTAGATCTGGATCTCAGGGTCATGAGCTCGAGCCCCCTGCTGGAAGGAATATACTCTTTTTTTTTTTTTTTTTTTTAAGGTACTATCTTTTTAACAAAAATGTTTATTTATTTATTTATTTTGAGAGAGAGAGTGCATGCACGTGTGTGCGAGTGGAGGAGGGGCAGAGAGAGAAGGAGAGAGAACCCCAAGCCGGCTCCACACTGTCAGCCCAGAGCCCTTATGGTTTTGTTCTTACACTTCATATTTCTATTTGCCTTGTGCTTCTTTTGAAGTATGATGTAAAATGGGGACATAATTTGATTTCCACTGAAAGATGGGCCGTTTGTCCCAATAAACTGTCCTTCTCCCCCTGCTTCAAAACTAGCTCTCACTGACACAAAGGTCTTCTTTCAAGTACCATGTCATGGTCATGGGGGGAAGCTTTCAGTATAAGGACCAGCTGCAGTGGCTTGGGCACTGCCACCTGCCCCTTCTTCCATGCCACCCTCTGTCTTCAGATTCTTTCCAGAACCGATTCCGAAATCCGTGTTCCCCTTACCGTCGGCTCCCCCTTCCTCCTCATATCAGCTAACCACTGCTGGATGAATTCAACGTCACGGGTGTAGGGGTATAGAGAGTGAGGAGGAAGGGTAGACTACTTCAACAGAAGTTCATCGAGGTCTTTCCAAGTTGCATGTTCTACTTAACGTGGGAGGCCCAGCTTTATAACATCACCCTCCCCCCGCCCCCCACCACATTTGTGCAGCCACGTAGGGTTTATTTGTTTATTATCTTTCGGCTGACTTTATTCCAAAATGGCCTTGTGGGTGAGTTGCACTGGCATCATTGTCCCCTTTATCAGATGAAGACAGTGAGGCCGACAAAGATCTCCCCTTGACCAAATTCTACTTAGGTGTCCCTAACCATCCTTGCAAGAGTCTTGTTTCTTTCTTTCTTTCTTTTTTTTTTTTAACATTTATTTATTTTTGAGACAGAGAGAGACAGAGCATGAATGGGGGAGGGTCAGAGAGAGAGAGGGAGACACAGAATCCGAAGCAGGCTCCAGGCTCCGAGCTGTCAGCACAGAACCCGATGCGGGGCTCGAACTCACGGACCGCGAGATCGTGACCTGAGCCGCTTAACCGACTGAGCCATCCAGGCGCCCCGCAAGAGTCTTGTTTCAACAAGAGTCTGAAATCAGCTCCCAACTGACCCAGTTCCCCATCCCCCACCTTTGATGTCTAAGTGGTAGGCCTACCTTGAGCAAGAATCCTGTCAGGCCAGATTAGCAAGAACCCCCTACCCTTGATGTGTCTTCTCCATAATTGGCCATTCACTGCCCCCCCCCCCACATACTCTGCTCCTTGCTTATAAACCCCCAGCTACGTTTGCTGCATTTCGAGCCGAGCTCTATTTCTCACCCCCCTTGGGATAAGTCTTGAATAAAGTGTTCCACCTGTTTCAACAAGTGTCAGAATAATTGTCTAACACTGGAAATTAAATGGTTTGCCTGGTTCACCTGGTTGGTGAGCAGACACAAAGCCATGTGTTGTGACAGCTCATCCGTGTAGTAACCAACACAACAAAAGACATCTTTGTGCCACCGTGGCCGTGGTGGCCCAGAAAGCCCGCAGCCCCCCACCCTGGGTCCTGACGTCCTTCCTCTTCAGCCCCCATCCTCTCATAAATTATAATCCTGGTTGTCAGAAGCAACTGTTTCCTCTGGCATCACACATCCTCTTATGAAATCCCATCTGGTTGGAATCTTCCAGTTTGACTTGTGTAGGAACCAGAATCTCGGCTTCCTCAAATGAGTCCCTTCGAGGACTAAGTTTTCAGAAGTGGTATAGAAGGAAGGTGTGACCTGCTTTATAAGAGTGTGACTCTTTCAGCAGCTCTCCCTTGCTCTGCAAATGAAGGCGGCAGCAATGATCAGGACTGGAATCTTCCCAAGGCTCACCTGTATATCCCCAAATAGTCCATGTGTATCTACTACGTGTTGGGTCCCATTCTGGGCACTGGAGACAGAGGAGTGAACAAGGTGAGTTCTCTCATGGATTTGGGTACCATCGGCGGTGGTGGGGGGATACTTCCAACAAGCAAACAAGGGAAACCTCAAGATAGCTTTCTTCCACCCCCTTTAGATCCATCCTCA